GAGAAAAGCTTGAATCTCACTGATCGTTTTCACAAATGACCCAAACAGTCATTTGGCATTAAGCTCTGCAGCCTGACTGTCTGTCAACAGGCAAGAACACCAACAAACTTTATTTTGTTGTAAAGTAGCTAAAACGCTACCAGCTTTAATGAAAAAAAGCATTCATATAAATGTACAAATTTACAATCACTTCATAGTTATTCAGGTTTAACCMTCAGATGTTTTATTTACAGGATGAATGTAAAGAAGAAAAATTCATTTGTGAGTAAAGTTTAGAAAAGGCTGCTGCTGACAAGTTTCCAGAGTTGTAAACAAATAGAGACAACCTTTAACACTGCAAGAAAAAATAGTTTTACTTGAGTTTGACTGATCTGTTTGTGAGTGGTTGTGTGTGTCTTTAAGGCACATTTAAACATTTTGGAGCTTTGATTCTTTGTTTAAAATATGTAAAAACCCCTCTTATTCTGAACCTGTAATGTCTCGTTTGGCCACTGGGGGGTGATATGAAGCCAGTTTTACAKAATAAATTGGCAGAAAGCAGCTGTAATTCCTCCAGTGCCATGTGATCGGGCTCACACAGTCAGCCAGTATTCATTTTCAGTAAACTTCATTTTTTTCTACTTAGTTCTGTGCAAATAAATGTTTAAATGCCCTTCCTGCACAGCCTTTCTTCATACAAACCCTGGCTCTCTGCTCTCCCGGAGCAAATATTCCTGATCAGCAGGTCCAAGTCCAGTTTTCACCTCCCTCCTCACCTGACAGAACCATAGATCTTCAGTGGAGGTGTGAATTTAAGTCATATTTCTCACAGAACTTGTCTGTTATGGGGATGCAGGTGAGGTACTCGCACCACTCGCACTTCACTGGGTACACATAGAACAGAACAACCAGAGTGGACAGCAAACTCAGGAAGACCATCAGGAAGCCACAGATCTGGATTCGCTTTCGGTACATGTCAGAGCGCCCAAAGCTGGAGGGTTTTTTAAAAAAAAGTTAGAAAATCACTGTGATCACTCAGGAACAACAAATGTTTGTTTTCCRTCACGTACCTGATGTACGGCAGGAAGGCGAAGGACAGGAAGAACCCCGACACAAAACCGCAGACGTGAGCAAAGTTGTCGATCCAAGGAAGCAGGCCAAAGGAAAAGAAGAAGACAGAGATGGCGAACAGTTTCGCAAACGCTCGCCACGGTCGCTCGAGGATCTGCCAGCTCTGAAACAGCTCCACAAACAGGCAGGACAGGATGCCGAACTGGCTGCCCGCAGGACCCACCTGGAGCAGGAACCAGACACAGACCGTTTACATAGAGACCACRGACACGATGCAGACAGATGTCAGCTGGTTCACGAGCTGCTACAACCTCGGCTCTGTACGGCAGGAAGATGGCGGAGGCCAAGTTGCCTGTGATGCCACTCAGCATGTAGATGATGGAGATTCTCAGCCAGCCAGCCAGCTTCTCTAAATCTCTCAGCACCGTCATCTGGAACAGCACGGACACCAAGCAGTGCAGGATCCTGCAGGGACACAAGCACTGAAAATCAAATCTACACAAAGTTTTCAGATCTCCTTCACTTTTTTGCAACTTTGTAAAAATGCAGTACTTTTCCTTRTTTAAGCAGTGAAACAAATAGGTTTATTTGATTTGGTTCAGTGTCCTGTTGGAAMCTGATCTAGTCTGAGCTCTGTGGACCTGGTTTCCAGTGAGGATATRGCTTTATTTTGCTCCAACCCTGAGCAGCCTCCCTGTCCCTGCTGCTGAAGCCTCTCCCTCACAGCATGATGCCGRCACCGCCGTGCTTCCCTGCTGGGTTGGTGTGGGACCTGCTTTTAACCTCAGGGGCATCAAACCAGAGAATCATATTTCTCCTTCAAGTAGGTTTCCATCAAGACACTCTGCCAGAAAGCCTGTATCAGTGGAGGCTTACTATTCTGTTGGTCCTTTCAGAACTCAGTCCACTAGCCACTCAGAATCTCTGAAGCTCAGAGTGCCCATCAGACCCTTGGTCACCTCTCTCACTAAGAACCTTTAGCCTCGCCAGGTGAGCTGGTCTGGGAAGAGTCCTGGGGCCTCACATACTGTATCACGGCATTTTTCATGCACTGCTTTTTTCCGTCGACAGTTTGAAACCATAAAGTCCTGAATCTGACCTGAATACACAGAAATGTGACTTCCTTCTGTTTTCTGCATGTAAGGAGTGTCTGATCACGGTGTTAGCTTCTTTTTGTTTGAGTTTTTATTGTTTAAACCTGAACGATGAATCTGAACCTCCTTTATCCTCAGACAAAAAAAACATAAAATAGCCTAAGAAATGATCAAAACAGCCTCAGTCCAGTGTAAACTGTAAAGTTTATATGTTTTTGTCATGTGTACATACAGTATAAATCAGTTACCGCAGGCCTGCGAGGCGCACACACAGCTGAAGAGAATAAAACGTGTGTGAATTGTTTAAGAGGTATTTTCATTGGAACACCTCACCTGTGATGAATCCTCAGGTCGATGAGATACAGACAATAAATATGATCATAAAAAGCTGCGTAAAGTTGGCCGTAATATGTGGAACAATGTCAGCTGTTGTGCTGCAGGTTGATATCACCACAAAAACTCTCCAGTGAGGCGCTGCGACTCGTTTCTTCACATCGACTATTTAATAAATACAGTAAAAGTAAACTCATAAGTTCCTCTGTGTTTACAGTCATTTATTAAAGACGTGTGAAGGAGGAAATGTCTCTCAGCATCATGTGCGTGTGAAGCTGCTGCACACACATCAACGTCATTTGCGTGAGTGGCAAATCCATTTTTAAACCCCACTACTTATTTAGAAAATGTTTCTCACTCATTCTCCATTTAGTTCCTGATTTTCCTGCATCTAGAAAGCATTTTCGATCGCACAGAGAGGAGAATCTGAGGAGAATTGCACACTCTTTGGCACATTTGCATGTATTTTACATATCGTATTTTTCGGACTATAAGCCGCACCTGCCATTTTTTAAAAAACAACCGCGAACATTAACATATAAGTCGCACCGGACTATAAAACGCACCCCCAACATAAAAAAAAAGTACACCCAAAATTGTCGTCAAAAAAGTGAATTCAA